TTTGGTTGCAAAAGCTTATTTCGAGCCATCAAAACAGCTGATAAGTTGGACGCTGTTCCACCTGATGTTAATATTCCAAACGCCCCGGAATCCAAATCCATACCAAAAATTGCACACAGCCATCTTATGACGTTGCATTCTAGATCAACTAGACCAGGTGCTGCGAAATAAAATCCTGTATATTTATTCAAACATTTACTAACAATATCAGATAACACCGAATGTAATAAACCTCCGGTTGGCATATACTGCATGTAACCGGGATGACGAGGATTTGTACCGGATTCAGCAGCAGCCATTATTCCGTCTAATAATTCCTGTAAAGATTGATTTGTCGGTTGCTTTGGTATTGTTAATTCACTGTTGCCTTGTTGTTCTTTAGATGTGATTCTACTTTGATGTAGACTGGATTTTCTGTCAAATAAATACTGTAATACTGACTGACATGTCGTTTCTAACATTTGTTCGAATTCTGTTCGTGTTAATTCCATCTTTATGTCAGATTTACCCTTTGATCAAAAACGATGGTTACTCTTCGAATACGAAAAAAGTGAGTAGTTAAATTACCTTGATTGTTCTTATCTCTTGATGTGTTCTTTTGTTTTTCTGTTTGTATAGTATATGAGTGTGATCTACGCGATTATATCATACTTTGTATTCTATTTGAATTAGCCGGTAGTAGACAACCAGAAGTATGTAATCCCAAAACTTTAATTATGAAGAGTAAGTTTTGCTTGGAAATAAAGCAATTTCTCTGGCTGAGCCTGCATTGAAGAAGCCGATAAAGAAACTCGTTAACTATTCCGCCACAAAGAAAGCTGCATATTTTCAAGGCAACATTGCGTAAAGAACTCATGCAACACATGCAAGATGTTTCATTTTTTTTTAATTTTATTCGCTTGACGTTCGTCAGAGTCATATAAAAGAAACTGTTTTTATGTCCACACGGAGAAACTAAGAACCTAATAACTTCTGAGAGATGCCCGCTACCTGAGGATGTCCCGAGGGTTTCCAGAGAATTCTTGATTTCTTCCGATTTGAAGAAAATTATGGGTAGTATGCTCAGATTGTGTGTATGGTAGAAAGAATACGGGTCTGTTGATATTACTCAGTGTAGCAGTAGTGATTGCTAATTTTTCCTCCTTACGGTAAGAAAAAGTAACAGATTTCGCTTTTTGCTCAAAAGTTACGTGGTATTAAATGTTTATGTTGCTTTATAAAAAGAAGTCCAGAGGTATATGAGACTTTTTTCTTGTACACATTTTAATGCACATGCATGTATTAGGGCTATTAGGCCGGTAGCTAATGCCTAACTAATATTCTTCCTTGATAATTGCCCTTGTTCAACTTTAAACGTTCGATTTTGTTTTAACTATTTAATTGTTCTCAAGTAAAATTATCAGAATTATGTATAGAAAGAAA